ATTTTTTGCTGTCCTCCTCTCCTAGTGGCACATAGGATCCCAACGATTCCTCTAAATCTTACTGTGTTGCCTGCTTCTCTCGTAATTTGGTTTCTGGAGTACTGTGCGTGTTTAAACTGCTGATCCAAGCTATTTCACCATGACTTAAATGGAGCTCCCGCACGGTAGCCAACTTTTGAATTCCAGCATGGGGGTTGCTTTGTTATGTAGGATGCTATTTTCCTAAGCGTGAGACCAATCCACTTCCATTTTCTTCGTTTGGTTTTAGTGGCACCTTATGTTTATTCCATGTGTTTCCAAACATTTTAGTATTGTTCTTAAGCATTTGTTAATGAATACTGGATTAAACTGGATACGCGATTAAACTGAAGCCGAGTTTTTCCACATTTTTCACATCGAGTTAAATATTGGAGGCTTAGCACGAGTGCTTATTTGATTAGATTTCCACACACTGTTTAACTGCCCGAAAGCTACTTTTATCTATGATAATGCTGCCTAAATATGTAAATAATTTTACGTGCTTAATTGCATCATTACCATTTCTGATGGATGCAGGATCCTTAATAGTGTGGCCGTTTCAAATAAGCTTTGGTTTTTTATGGCTTATGTGCAGGCCAACATTGGATGCACAGGAACTAAATATATCAATTTTGTTTTTTTACTTAGAACTTTTATGATTTTAGACACAGACATCGTCTGCATACTCAATATTGCCAACTAGTTTTCCTTTTTCCAAATAGTCTATAAAAATTATTCCATTTGAATCCCAAAATACTGAAGCCAAAACTTTTCCAATCGATTGTTGAGTTCTTTGCCGCTTGGGAGCACTACCCACGGGCTCTACCCATTCTCTGGCTTGTTGTTTTCCCTCAAATATGAAATAATGGATCCATATTTTATCAATTGTTAGCACTCACAGCTTACAGAAGTTAACATGTTAAAACTGCAAGAAAGCCTCCTTTGTGCCCATCGACACTCTGCTATCTTTGAATGCGGATACTTACCTCCAATATAAAGTCATACTGAGTCATACTGAGACTATTATCTGATCAAAATTAAGTTTGGGACATTATCATGCCGCTGTTTTATTGGAATGGTCATTGTTTCTTACTCAAATCTTCAGTAGTCTAAGTCTTTAGTATACCATCTAAAATTTATTGATATATGGTTGCACATGGCTGCAGCCTGCATCTATGTCTACAATTTAAAACTTTTTTGATTTACAACTGTTGAGACTTCATTTTTGAGTTACTGGCTCAAAAGCATTGCTACTTTAAGCTTAATCTTTGCATTTGTGGAATTCAAATAACTTTACTTATATACAGGTCCTGATAATGCATCTCTAAAGAGCTCCATTTTCGTAGTCATGTCATATCATATCAATATGACTCTAATCTTATTTGTATTAGAAATTCGATTAAGTCCAATAATACTTTTGTGTTCACATACATATATATACACATATATATGTATGCAATTTATAAACTAAAATTGTGATTAGAAAATCTATCAATTGTCTGTTAGAATTTCAGTTAAAGAAGCTATTTTATGTCCTTTCGTATTTGTTTCTTGAAATAACATTTAAAATCAATTTGGAAATATTTTGCAATAATTTGATTTTGCGTGAAAGTAAGTGATATCTTCCGAATTCGTTGTCATTTTTGATTTTCCTATCTTCCGAAGTAGCACTGACAGGGTGTCAGAGCATATTTAAAATTGTCTATGCAAGTAGATACTTGCGCTAAGGAGTCTAGGCTCATATCGCATATGCATTTGTGTAGATACTTCCTTCTCGGCATGACACCATAAATTACTGCTGCACATATGCCTTGACGCCTTGGAACAGAATTAGTTGAACGTGAAGTCATCTCAACTGTCATTTTGATTGTAAGACTAACGGAAACAAACTGGGTCACTTGAAGTTTAACAGAGAAGATACGAGTATCTAGTGAAGTCATGTGATTTTTTTTTCGAATAATATTTTTTTGTTATTTTTTTTGGAATTTTTTTTTATTACATTTAACAAGTGCGCTTTCATGTGTTTATTGACCATCACTTCAATTTCTATTTGCCAAAGCAATTTGTGTGAAACTGAAATATTTGATGAAAAGATAGAAAAAAATTTATTTAAAAATACAAAAATTATATCTATTGTTTGTACCTATATGTATTTAGTTTATGTATGTGAAGTATATATTCCCATACAAATGGGTATTATATTTGCTTTTACATTCTCGGTGTAGCTCGTAGCTTCTCATTTCGGATTGTTTGTAATCGAATTGTTTGCGGATGATGCAAAGTTCCGAGCTGTTGGATTAAGGCGTGTAAGCTGACAAAGCGATTGGCATTCACTTTTTAAATGTAAATAAAATCAACAAATCGCTTACGTCATTGATATTGCCTTTTAGGTACAATTAAGGTTTACTTTGAATGGATTTATAATTGCAGTGTATGGAAGTGCATTATAATTCATATGAGTGAAATTGACTTGACCATTAAAACACTACACTACTGTGGGAAGTTGCCATTCGAAAAATTATTCATTATTATTAGCTTTTTTTAAGTAGATCTTAAAAAAAAGACTAATTGGACCAAGTATTAATCAATTAAATACATTCTAGGTAGACTGTTTAAGACTAGAGCTCGCAAAGATCGCTAGTCTATGGATTAGTCCAATAAATATATTATGTTATATTAGATAGTTTTTTAGTTTCAAAGTTCACAAAATTTTTTGGCAGTAATCTATGCATTAATGCATTAATTTACTAAATATATTGGACTGTTTGCGATTTTGATCCTAAAAGAAGTTTCCGACGTTCTAGACGACATGCTGTATCTAATGACAGCAGTATGTTCGCCTCAGTGTTTGTATGGTAACCAAATTTTGTCGAATATATAACATTTCTATTGTTTTCATCCCAAAACTCTGATACAGATCTGAATATTCATACTATTTACAACATTAGTAGACTCTATCACTCTCTTTATTTCTCTATCTCTAGTAGTTTATAAATATAGAAAGAATATGATTGATTATATCTTTTACAAAGTTAATATGTACCAAAGTACATATGCAAAGTTTATTATTATTCTGAAATTTAGCAAGAATTTCAGCCAACATGACTAATTGAATTCGAATCTTTGAGGATAAAATATTGACTACAAAAAAATAAAAAAATTGGAGACCTACTTCAATATGAAAAGGACACTAAGATTAAGGAATATATCTCCGGACTGAGAACAAGTAAAGCAAACTAATAAAAAATTAAAGCAATCTGACCCTCGAATTCCATCCTTAGGAATGGCAAATGATGAGTTCACAATGTCACATATGGAATAACCAATTACTCTTGCCCAAAAGTTTCTTGTGGTCGAAGAACCTCATGATCAAAAAAAAAAGAGATATAGGAGAAATCACATCATTTTTAAACACACCCGGTCAAATTTACTTTTCTCTGGCCATTAAAGCAGAAATTCGAAAGTTATATATAAATTTAATCACAAAAAGCCGCAGACATACAATTTAATGTCTACTAAAGTCCTGCATAAGTTAAGTGAAATCGGTTTTATGTACCTAACACAGCTCTTTAATTGTTTTGTGATAATTAGATGCCTTCGGCTGCAATGAAAGGGACCAGTAATAGCGCTAAAACGAAAACCTGGTAAACCTTTCGAAGAAGTAACATTGTATAGACTACTTAGCCTTCTACCAGTTCTAAGCAAAGTCTTAAAAACCGTATTTTACTCTAAACTGAAATCAATAATTACTGCGAATAAGTTATTACCTAAAGATAAATTTAGCTTTAGAGACTAACATGGAACTCGAAACAGCTACATGATCAGCCAAAAATTCAATTAATTAAAATAATATAAAAAGAATTTTTGTTGTTGTAGTTCACTACTATTCAAAAAAAACCTCTTTATGGAACTATTGAACAAATTTAAAGAGTTTTCAGAACCATGCATATTTCTATGGAAGACAAGGAAATCTGTACATTTGTACTTCTATATATTAAACAAGTGTTTGATCAAATCTGGCATGATCGACTGTTATATAAACTTAAAAAGATATTGCCCTATCCAGTTTATATTGTCCAGCATGTTTTGTGAAATGTAAATAACCGATACCTTGTTGTTTAAGTAAAAAAGGAAATATCAAATTTGTATAAAAGTCACTCCAATGCTCCCCACGGTGTTGTTCTTGAACTAATCCACTAAGGCTTGTTTATAATTCGCTCGTATTATCCTTACCTTGCAATGATTACTTAGTGGATTATAGGGTATATTTGCTGTTTTAGGTAAATAACTTCAGTCGTTTTTTTTTTTTCAAGAAAAATTTATTAGGCATAATGAAAAGATTCTTCTCTTTTCCTTTTATCCTTTTGACCAATAATTGGCGTAATTTTTTTTTGTGACATTATCCTTAATTAAAGATTAAAAATAGTGCTTTCTGCTAATTTTTATTATCTATAAATAACACTTTTATTGCAGAAAAGATGGATAGATAAAGAGAACTTAGACCCGCCACAACGATAAGATTTACTTTAATAAATACTTTTAAAATTTCTCATGATACCAATCAAGTTAAGATTTTGCAGTTTTGTAATATAAATTTATCTAATAAAGAGTAAAATTACATTATCTCTGAATCTTATATATATATAAATCTTATATCTTATATAAACTTATATAAAAACTTTATAATTATGACCAATTTCTCGGCCGTAACTTAAGTCGCAATGCTGAATCAAGTTGTGCTTAAGTCATCAACTTAAAGACATAATTTAGACTTAAGTCAGTTAGTGAATTTCAATATTTGCCTCTAAAATCTTCACTCTCTTATTTGAAAATTTACCAAGTCTCACGTCGTCTGTCATCTGCATTCATTCCCGTCAGTGTTCAAAGTTATTCATTCTCACATACTCACTCATGTCTTTTGTTTTATTTACAAATTTGCATATACTTTTACTTAAGTTGCATTTTGTTCTACTTCATTTTAGGTACACGATTGGGCAACAGACTTCTGCGATGGCACTTGCCTATGTGCGCTAGTGGAGAATCTCCAAACTCGTCCACTTAAGCCATCATGGAATCGACGGCCAGCGAATCAACATCACTATTTAGAAAATGCGACAACTGCCTTAAACGCTGTCGAGGCTGACCACATAAAGCTCGTCAACATTGGCAATGTGGACATAGTCAACGGCAATGTGAAACTTATTTTGGGCCTAATTTGGTCACTGATTGTGCGCTACCAAATTGGCCGTAGTAAATTTCCGCCACGAAAGCTTATGTTGGCTTGGCTACAAGCTGCCTTACCTGATTGCAAAATCACAAATTTAACTACCGATTGGAACAGTGGAGTTAATTTGTCAGCTTTGTTGGACTATTGTCAACCTGGCCTCTTTCCACACTGGCGCTCACTTGATCCTAGTCAAAGTGTCAGAAACTGCACGAATGCCATGAACATTGCACAACGCGAATTCGGTGTGCCAAAAGTGTTGGAACCAGAATATTTGGCTTCTCCATGGTTGGATGAGTTATCTGGTATGACATATTTATCCTACTTTATGAAACCTGGTGGTCCAGGCTACAATGCCACAATGCGTTGGGTTAACACTCAAATTAAAGAACCTGTCAAAAATTTCACTGTAAGTTTTAATTCGCTTTTATGTTAAGAACACAAATGATTCTTATCACGTTTTTGTTTTTCTTGAATGTAGACCGATTGGAATGATGGACGTGTTTTCTGTGAAGTTATAAAAGGTTTAGGTGGACCTGCTCCAGCTCCTGAGAAACTCAGCACAGATCCATTTCATTTTGAAAACAACATTCGCAAAGCCGTGGAAGCTGGTGCCAAACTGGGTGTGCAGCCCATTCTAACTGCCAAAGATATGGCGAATCCAGAAGTCGAGCACTTGGGTATTATGGCTTATGCAGCGCATCTTCAGTGGGTACCACCAAGGCCACCGCTGTCCGATTTAGTTAATGTCTATATGGAGAGTAATTCCGGAAGAGTAGGCGAACCGGTATGATTTCGTCAATTACGTATATTTCCACCAAGTTTTTAAAATAAAATGAATAATATGATTAAATTTTTTTATTTTACCTTTTTTAATTTTATTATAAATTTTCTTTTGCTTCTGTAAACACTATTTTTAACATTTTTCATAATTTGTTTTCCTTATTTTCTGTTAAATATTTTTAATGTTTTTTCTTCCTCTTTCTTTTTTATACTCTACTTAATATTTTACCTTCTTTATTTTTTTTATTTTGTTTTCCTCATTTTCCATTCTATTTTCTTATTTTCATTTCATCATTTTTCGTCTTAAATTTTTTTTTTTCTTTTTTATTTACACTTGTTTTGTTTATTTTTAATTTATTTATATTTTAACTCTTCTTCATTTTCTTAATGTTTTTTTTTTAATTTCATTTAATTATATTTTTGTTTTCTTTTTTCAATACGAAAATATATTTTTAATATTTAACATCTTTAAATTTTCAAATTTTTTTTATACATAATAATTCGGCACAGACCCATTTTCGTATTGACGTGATGTCGCGCGAAGTCAGCCTGAGCCAAGTAAGGGCAGTGATTATGCCACCCACTGGTCATCCACAGCCAGTCCGCCTGAATGCTCACGGCGAGGGTGTCTACATACCTGACAAATATGGCATGCATGAAATCGTTGTCGAAATTGGCGAGGACAGTCTCGGTGGACATTTCTTCCGCGTGCTACCACGCTTTATACAAGTAGCAGCGCCCGGCATGGCCCCCTGTGCACTTGGCAGTCTAGTTGAAGTGCTCGTCAATGCTACTGGTGCACCAAAGACGGAAGATATACTTGTCACTGCAGTCTCTCCGACAGGAATTTCACACAATTGTCCACTGAAGAAAGTGGAGGAAGGGCACAGCGCTATATTTAAGCCAGACGAAGCGGGAATTTGGGAGATTGCCATTACATATCAAGGACGGCACATACAAGGTGGTCCCTTTACATGCGCTGTGTTCGATGCAACAGGAGTTAGTGTGCATGGTCTCGATGGAGCACAAGCTCTGCGTGCACACTCTTTCGAAGTAGATGCACGCGGTGTCGGCGTTACTGGTGAGTTGCACGTTGACATTGTACACGACAAGCGTTCGTTGGTTTGCTCAATTGAAAAGATTGTGGAAAACAAATTCCGCGTGACTTTCATGCCACGACAAAATGGCAAATATCGTGTTTACGTGTACTTTAACGGCTACGATGTGAAAGGTTCGCCATTCATCATGCGAGTGGGCACTAAGGGACGTTCGGGCAAGACGCGCAGCAGTCCTTTGCATGACAACAAACACCGGTCAGAAAGTCCCTCAATGCATTACACATCGACAACCAGTACACGGCACAATGACTACCGTAATTCCTCGTTGTCACGTAGGGATTTGCTTAATTCTCACAACACACCCGAACGACAGAGGTCTTATTCACCGCAGTATTCACCGAAGCTGGATTCGAGCGACTATCGTACAAGCTCAAGTTATTATAAACGCGAAAGTGAAGTGAGTATCGCAGATACGGTGAAGGCATGATTTTGTATTTTTTTACAGTAAAATTTGTTTTTGTTACTAATATTTTTTGTACCTGTACACGTACACTACTCACTAATTTCTTTCTAACCTCAAACACTATACTGTATCCTCACAAAATTATATTAGGAACGATTGGCTACATCCCCTCCACCACCTCCGGCGCCACAACCACCACAACGTGAACAATACAGTCCAACCACAAAGTACATTAACTCCACGGACCTGTACACGGTAAATGCACGGCGTGACTCTAAAGCTTCAACCTCTTCTTCCACCAAAAACGATTACTACTATGACAAAGAGAATGAACTTTACAACCAGAAACGCACGAATAGAAATTTAAAATTGGCACCACCACGCGAGAGTCGCGAAGAGTTTTACGATCAGCAGCAAACGGCGAGAGCAACCGCAACGTACACCGCCAAGTTGAGCCCCATTCCTAGTCCCACACACAATGTAACTAAATTCTACACTTAATATAACCTTTAATGTTTTTATTGTTGTTGTTGTTTAATGTAATTTTGTTAATTTTTAACATAACCTCGAAACACAAGTAAAAACCGACTAATATTGCTTAACGATTCCTTCCGAAATAGATACGTTCAAGCGAAGTGCGCACACACAGTCCACTCACAGTAAAAACCTCGAACCAATACGAGACAGCCACACGCAATCTGAGCGTAAGCCCACGGCATATGACGCCATCGCCTGTTCAACGCTATTCACCCAACAATGCTTACATCACAACAGCAACACATCGCATTGGCAGTCCAGTATCTACACTCAATAAGGTAATAATCCCCCTATCCACACTTAGAATTTTTAACTCCTTTCCTCTTCCTCACACAGAATGGCATCAATCGCTCTGAATACGAAACTTCACGTATTGAAAAATCTTCAACCTACAAGTCTTCCTCCAACTTCGTTACCGATTCCAATGTACGCGCAAGTCCATCGCTTTACGGCACTACAGAACGCATACGCCGTACAGCTTCACCAGAGCCACGCATCGATCATTCGTCCAATGTGCGAGTTTCTTCGATCAAACCCACATCAGCGCGTCGTGACAGTTGGGATGTCATCAACAAAACGAAGCACATGCTATCCCATAACTCACTGGAGTCCTTAGCTAACATGACGGAAACACAGCTGAACACTGATTTGTCATATAATCGTCCCGACATCGACAATGAAACGCAACGAAACACACAATATAATAAGTTTGCCTTACAAGAGAAGAAATACCATTCCGATCGTGATCGCCATGGAAGCATCGATGATGTCGATCGTTATAAGTAAGCACAACGTACTTAATAACTCCGATTTATTGCTTAACATGTTATTTGTTATAGACCAAGTGCCATTACCGTCAAGTCACATTCGAATAATACTTACACGGATAAGTCAGGCGGCTACACGAAGACGGTTAAGGAATCGAGTCAACATGTGGTCACGGAACGCACACACACTGACAATGGCGGCTTGAGCGGTCAATACGGCTACAGCTCATTGTCGCGTTTTCGTCCTATAGACAACAATGCCACTGGTGCCAAAGCAATACGTGTACAAGACATACCGAATGGTGCCATTGGACGTCCCGTGGAATTTGAGATCGACGGTTCAAAAGCAGGTTCGGGCAATTTAGAAATTCTAGTTAACGGAGGACGTGTGACTTCTTCTGTGCGTTCATTGGGCGGACAACGCTTCATTGCGAGCTTCACCCCTCACGAACCGGGTACGCATTCTGTACAAATTACGTTCAATGGGGAAACTGTACCAGGTAAGTCAGATCGCCAATGATTTTTGTAGAATTGAAAATATTTTATTTATTTATTAACTAAACTAAGTATTATAGTGTATTTTATAATGGAAAAAGAAATATGCAATGTCAGGGAAAAGGACTTTTGATTGACATTAACTATAGTTTATTTTTAAAATGAAGAAATCACATAAAAAAGTTTTAATAAAATAATTTTTAAGAATTTATTTTAAAATATTAAATTAAATTATTAATATTATTAAAATGATAATATTAATATTAAATTAATTAATAACACTTTAGCATTCTTCCAATATTTTTAACGGCTGTGGTGAAATAAAATGGATTACCAACAACACTACATCCATTCATATTTTCTTTAAATGTATGTGAGCAATAGTTCTAATAATTTATTATTAAGTCTATTTTATAAATTAATAGTTTATTATAATTATTTATAAATATCAATCAAACTATAAAAAATTTGAATTCAACCAAATTATCATTGCAAAGCACATTAAGCACATACAGCCCACTGTGGTGAATGTAAATATTCTCAGTACATTTTTAGCAAAGTCAAGAACCAAATTACCTTGTCCAGTAGCTTATAAACTGTGTACTATATACTGTTTGACGCTGAAGATTTAGAAATCATGTTTTATTTTTATTCAGTTAAAAATTCAATAATTCATCAATTTATTCAAAAATATAAGCTTAATTAATTAATTAAATAATAATTAAGTAATAGACTTAATTTGATAATAGACAATTAATTAAATAATAGACAATTCCAACTATTTTTCAACTAAGCTTTTTATGAATAGTGTATAATTACTTCCTTACTCTTAACATCAGTGTTGTACCCAAGGATAAAAAGGAATGTAAAGGAGAAGAAGAAATTTAATCTACAAATAATGCACTGTAAAATCATTGCTAACAAAACTTTTCTAGTTCAAACCACCCTTGCTACAATTCCTGTCTACGCCGGGATTTCTGTCGATTAGTCTTCCACTTCTAAATGATATAAACTGATTACGTTATTTTGAATAGACTTAAGTCTAAGTCTATCTTCTTTCTATTTCTAAAAAGAATTTAACTGCAACGCTTGTTTGAAATTGTAGTCATCGTTCTTCCTCAGTCTTGATTCGCTTTACTGCTAGCTCCTATTCTTGTTTTTAAACAGCAAATTCAACCTGGTTTCCTGGTTATATTCAACAACTCAGCATTTATTATCGTATAAAGACAGAAGATTCACATAATATCACGAAACATTTACTGATTTACTGATAAAGGCTTAGACGAGTTTCGTGACCAGTGCAAACACACTCCAAGTAGTGCAGCCGTATAACAGGGCGCATTTACGACTGATTTCATAATTCACAGTTATGCGCGAAAACTTCTAGTGTTCAGGACCGTGTTATTAATCTATACTTGAATATCTCTGCATTCGTGGTTATTTCTAGTTCTTAAGAATTCTTGGACGACTAGCTACGTAATAATTGTTGAGTGATGGATATTTAACGATGTCCGAAATACATTGTGACCGAAAAGTTTCCGGAAACTCTTAAATAAAACGCAAAATTCTTAATCTTCATCAATATTTATTTTATCTCCTTCAAAATATGCTCCATTAGAAGCGATACACAAATGCCAACGTTTCTTCCAATCATCAAAACATTTTTTATAGGCGCTTTCCGGTATGGCTTTGAGTTCCCTCTGCGAATTCTGTTTTACGTCTTCTATGGATTCAAAACGCGTTCCTCTGAGTGGTAATTTGAGGTTGGGAAACAGGAAAAAGTCACACGGTGCAAGATCAGGTGAATACGGTGGCTGTTCGATGGTATTTATTGAATGTTTGGCCTTAAAATCGTTGATAATGTTGAACAAATTGAGGTGAATCGGAACAAGCCGGGCGTTGACACGTCGCATACACAAATTGTCCACCAAAATCAAACGAGCCATCTCACGACCGATGCCTAGCTCTCGTGCTATCTCTCTAACACTCACATGAGGATTTTTGAACACGATTTCCTTTGCCTTTTCAATGTTTTCGTCGGTGGTAGAGGTCGAAGGTCGTCCAGAACGCGGCATGTCTTCGACGGTCGTACGACAGTCCTGAAAGGCTTTGTACCACTCATAAACTTGAGTTTTCGATAAAACTGATTCCCCATAAGCCTTTTGTAGCATTCGCAACGATTCTGCACACGAAATTTCGTTCGAAAAACAAAATTTGATGCAAACTCTTTGTTCAATATTTTTTTCCATTGTTTTTTTCGCAACGCACTACTGAGGTGAACTGGTTTCAACAGCTGCCGTAAACGAACTGTCCGACAGATCGCGCTCATTTTTGGCATAGTAATTAAGGACAGTGCTGCCAAACTACATAAACTTAAAATATCGAAAAATATACAGCGCGCGAATCTTAAATGAGAACCTCCGAAAACCTTTCGGTCACAATGTAGTAGTGTGATCAGCTCAAGAACTCACAAGATTAAAAAATTATGTTTTAGTTTTGAAAATTTACTCACTACTAATCCCTTTTTTTGTTGGAAATAGACTTGATCTTTATATTATATAGATAAAATATTATATATTATAATTTATATACAAAATATATTGTCTCGCCCGTGGTAATCGTGGAGTGCACGCATCCAACCCTTAGTACTAGTAGTCTCGAGAAATTATTTACGAATAATTAAATACAAGAATTATTTTTAAGACCACCGATTATGGATATTTACCGCTACTCGAAACAACTGTACGGTCAGCCAAAAATTCAATTAATTAAAATAATACAAACACAGATTTTGATGTTGTAGTTGACTACTTTTTGAAACCACTTTATTTTTCTATTAAATTTGTTTTTAAAGCCAATATGACGGGGCAAGTGACTATTTTACTTAATAGAAATAATTGTATTTAATAGAGAGGTTCGAAAAATGTAGTGAACAAATGTTTTTTAGCAAAAGACAGTTTGTTAAATTAATAAATCACATAAATTTAAAGCATTCATGTACGAATATAGAAGCACAATCTATATCAGTAATTTTTAATTTTTTGGAACCTAGAAATATCGTATGTTGATGTTTTGCTAATATAATGTGGGGCTAAAGACGCTAAAAGAAATAATAATATTTTTTCAGACTGCATCTAAACCGTTGACAAAAATTCAGTTAATTAAAATTATATTGAAAATTTTTTGTTATATAGTTCACTACTTTTGATATCTTTCAACATTATAGTTCTTTATTCGAGTTTTTTGAAAAGGGGTCTGTGAAACTTTACAATGAAAAACTTATGAGTTTATTTTTAATTTTTATTCCGATCTCCGACAATTTGAAGTTCGTATTCGCCTTCTTTTTTAGGGAGAAGTATTATTACAATTTCGAGAAATATATATGATATATATATAGATAACCATAATTCCAACTAATTCTAGAAAATGTTGTGGAAATAATGTTAAATTTACTCCAATAAATATGATTAAAAATTCACTTGTTTTTAGTTTTGCATTTATATATAAACCAGTAAAAAGAGGATATCAATAAATAAACTCTGCAATGATAGCAAATACACCTTCTATTAATAATATAAAATAATAATATATAAAATAGTTTATTAATATAATTTTTAGAGGCCAAAAGTAAATTTAATTCAATCATTGTAAAACTGTGTTTTCTTCAATGAAGTCATTTTTCTTAGTTCTTCTCTCTAACTAATTTAATGAACTCATAAAATAGTTTGTTACTCTCTAATAAATGAACTGAAATAATTCCACTTCACTAACTTAACTCCCACCTACTGAGTCCGCCACTGTCAACCTAACCACAAACACAAACACCAACAAAACGCAACAGGTGAGAAATGCGATATGCTGTGGTCGTGCTTCCACTGTGAACAAAACACACACGGAACTGTGCTCAAATAAGCGTTTGCACAAACACAACAACAACAACAACAACATCGGCTCAGAACAATAAAATGATTTACACAAAAGAACCATTGAAGAGTAACTTCAATAC